CTTTGTGGGTTTTAAAAGACGTATAGGGTCGACTTGATGGTAACAATACCACTTGATGAAACCCTTGAGCAAGATCGGGAAGCGTAAAACACTTGCATCCATCCATGCGGTCGAATAGTTCTTCGATAAGCGGCAAAGAATTTTGCTTCGACTGACATGCTATCAACATAGCAATAGTCAATTGCCCATTGAATAGGAATCTTCGAATTTACGCTTCGTAGCCATTCGGCGCGTTTTAAGAACTTTTCGGCTGCGAGATATTTCTTTGGAATTCCAAAAATATTGGAGACCCATGGCGTTTTGGATACGTCTATCCATCCTTTTCGTATATTCTCTGCAACGAATTGCTGTAGTAAGTCTTGTTCAACCTCAGAAAGACAGGAAAAGGAGAACAGGCGCTCGGCACCGCAGCAGGTCTTAGTTGCACTTCGACATTCACTGATGATTTTAAAGGCATTCCATTCTGACGTTGTTTTGGAAATACGTCCTTGTACTCGTCCGAAACTGGTATGAACTCCTTCAATATTTCTGATGGTTCTACGTTGGTAACCTTCAGCTGATATATTTCCTCATATTCTCCAATGTTCATCTCCTCTTGAAGGTAGGACAATTCACGTCTGCGAACCTCGTGTGGGCTTCAACTTTAATATGTTGCGCTCTCCAATCTATCCGTGGGTTGTACTTGGTAAACCATGGTTGACTAAATATTAAGTCATGTGTATCCGGTAGGTTCCATCTCATACACTGCATCCTTGGGAAGTACATACTGTCGATGCGAATGGTATCTTCCACTCTCTTCGTGGACTGACTCGATGTCCACGTTCCGTCAATACGACGCGCTTGTACCTTCTGAGCGCTTAGTAAATTTGAGGCCAGAATAGGTTTAATCAGATTTGTGGACGCACCAGAGTCGATCAAAGTCTTGACGGATTTTTTTCCAACGACACTACCACGCACTAGTTGTCGACCCTTCATTGGCATGTCCGATCCAAAGCTGCTTGGTTCTAAGCCAATAGGTTCTACTTCTATCTTCTTTTGTACCTCCACGGCATTGTTCGTGACACGTTCGTAATCAATTGATTATGTTCGTCCTCACGGCTGTCCACATGGTTGACATGCTGACGACTTACATTTTGCAAGTAATTTTGGTCAAAACGATTGTTACCTCGATCATTACGTGGCTGGAGATGGCAACACTGTGCGGAGCGATGATTCGGACTTCCGCACTTAAAACACAATTTGCGGCGGCGACATTCGTCACGAGACGGAATTTGCATCTAGCTGATATTTACGATCTGGACCATCTTTCGATCGATATCGACGACTGTTTTCGTGTGTCCTGTACCGCGTTCTATCGTTCAAAATTCCTCGATAATGTTGCTGAGGATGAAGGCGGTCAAAGTCGAACGCAACCGTAATATATTCGGATAGCGTTGTACAGCGAAGGTACTGAATTTCTTTCCGAGTGCGACCTGTAAGTCCACGTAGAAAGTACATGATCTGGTTCAGCTCGCTCATCTCTCGAACTTGAGTGACTACGTGGCAAAATCTTGCACAAATAACTAGGGAGATCTTCGCATTCGCGCTCTCTCATATTTTTCAATCCTCACACAGACGCTCGTTCAAATCAACAGGAATAAATTCACGTTCGACCTTGCTGAAGGAGTCTTCCACGTTTGTGACATTCTGTTTTTGCATCGCATACCACAGAGCGGCTCCTTGATTCAGTGTCCCGCCTAAGACAGCGAGTTTTCTTTGAGAAAGTTCTGGACCCTTCCAGTCCACTCCTCTGCAAATAAATATAATTCCACTTGCTCCTCGTATTATTAAATTGATTCATCCAACCTACCCGATACTTCGGACGTTTCAAACCCTCTAGCTTGATTTACGAAATCTGTTTTTACTTTAAAATCGCTCGAGCAATTGCGCTTGTTTTTCATAGTTGCGGTCATAGAGTGCTGAAATTTTGCATGCTGATCGGAAGTCATCGGGGTGGACATTGTTAAACCAAAACAGTTACTAAATGATATTAACGATTAGTTAACTCTAAATGGTAGATCTGGGGTCCTTTTTGGCTCTTGGGTGCTTCTCTTGACAACCTCCGGTGCGGGTTTCTAGGAATTTTCCGACTCGGCGGTCGAAAATAGTTGGCTTACAGGTAAAATTTTGTACCCTGGTGGCCCAGCACAAGGATCTCGGATGGTTTTGACCTTGTGCTTAGCTATTCGCGTGAGATGCACAGGTTCACAGTACTCTTAAAGCTGAGCAAGTCACCGGCGTGCGAGAGTAAGCGAGTTTTGATGTTTTTGCGCAAGTAGACGCGGTGAGACGTGTCCAGGTGTTTCTTGAAGTGGCAAAAGGCGTCTGGCGCGACGGATCGATTCCAGAAGATCCGCGCGGCACCTATCGGCAGCGTCTAGTTTCCTCACGAACACTCGGGCCAGCGAGTCGTTGAAGGCAAGATTCGTGGGTTGATTTCGCGAGTGAAAAGTCATGAACCGAAGAACTGATCTTCCGTTAAATAAACTGACTTATCACCGAAACGAGACGATTTCTAGCCACTTAAGACTTCAAACTCGATAACAGCAGCAGTAATATTGACCCGGTAGTATTTACAGCCAATAAAAAGGAGTCCCTGTCCTTTAAAATATTGAGAATTACAAATGGGATCTCCTGATTTCTACTCATGAGAGACGACGGCGTGCAGCAGGTACGGCTAGCACGGTGAATACGGAGGTGCTGAAGACAGAGGTGGGGACGGCAAGGATGATGGGGACCAATAAGTGCTACCAGATATGAAGACTTCTCGTTCACTAGGTAAATTGAAAACTAAATTAATTTAAACACTTATTTCGCTATCATGTGCTACCTCCAATCCTGTCCTTCTAGATCCTTCTAGAATGTTCCTAATGGCGTCAGACTGTGACGTTAGCCTGTGATGTCATGGTATATTTAGTATACATTCAGCTTAGTCGTGTTGCCCGACTCGGCGGCATGACACTGTACGGATTATGGTACAGCGATATGGATATGGACCAATCTTGACCTGAGATTGCCAGTCGATTATGATCTAAGCTATTTCAATCTGCCTTACATTTGCTTGTTTCGTGTCACAGATGCAAGATCCGACTGGGTGCCTTCGACCACCTGAACAGAGTTGTAGTTTCAAGACCGGTGTTCGCCAGACAAGTTATCAATGTTCAGCTTTTAAGTACTTACTCAATATCTGCGTCAAACCGCGGTCACGGGATCTCGAAATCTCGTGTGATCCTCGCCAATCGTTTGAGGAACGATCATCTGATTATTTCAAACGTACGACTTCGGTATTTAGAATGCGAGGAGTTTCTTGCCAGGAGATATTAGCGCTTGTCATGTGTATTAGAAGCAAAAGCGGTATCTATTCATTAACCAGCCCGGATTATAGCAGTCTTATGACAATACATTTCCTATATTGATCAATACGTAAAATTTGGTTGCAACTCTGAACAAATTTTTTTTATATACTTGAGGGATAGAGGCTTCTTTTAATATTGCAAAGTGCTTATACTAGTGATCTTTCGCTGTCTGCGTCCACGCATCACTCCCACGAACGTGGTAATTTTGTGCCAATGTTCTATGTCAGTCTTTAGACAAAACATATTTCAGGGTTTAGTGACTGCTACCTGACCCGATGTAACCAAATTCCCGTAAATTCGTTATGCCTTCGACACTTCTTCGTACCCCATGAACATTCCTTCACGAGCCTTCGGACCCCATTTCGACCGCTTTTACTTGGGGGTAGCACAAACAATAGGCAGCCAAACACTTGTACGTGCTTCACACTTGGCCGAAATTCGTTGACGATCTCGAACGTAATTTATCTTGGCACTTGTGTGATGGCAGGCGATTCTTGACGTAAATCGCTGTCATTGCTGCTTCATCCCAATAACATTGGCTCAGCTTGGCGTAGTGAAGCATACTATATCCAATCGTCACGATAGTTCGAATCGCCCATTCCGCTGTACCCTTGGTCTGTTGCACATACGGGACGGTAACCCTCAGTTCTATTCCTTGACCTTCGTAAAATCCGATAAGCGAATTCGCTCAGAATTTGCGTGCAACATCGTGGAGAACGAACTTGACCTTGTGCTCAAACTGCGTCTGCACCGCATCGATGTACTTCTTGATACATTCTCCGCTGTCGGATTTGGTGTGCAGACTGAAACCATTCATACATCCTCTGCCTTCATCAACACTCAGAAGCAAGTAATTGTTTCCACCCAGCAAGTCAATTTCCATTCGGCCACAGGTGTCGATTTGCAGAAGCTCAAACGGGTCATAGTGGCGTTTGTTTAAGTTGCTTGGGAATGATCATTGCACCATCTTTCCTTCGTGGCAACCGCGACTCACGGTCGATCCATCAGGATCCGATATCATCTTGACATCCTTGATCATGCCCTAGGAGATCATCCTACACACGATTTCTCTTGGTGCGTGTCCCATTCGCTCATGAAGCTCTTCGAGTTCTGTTCGAAATACAACATTCACAGATCGTTGGAATGTGCGAAGCCAGTAAAGCCCATCCATAAGATCCTCCGTCGCCACCAATTACTTGGCGTCTTTGCGCGAAATCTTCGTCTTATCCCCATCAAACACCACTCGAAACTTTCCACTTTTGTTAATCTGAGGTATCGACTAAAATGTTTTTGTTCATGCTTTAGACGTAAAGCGCGTTCTTGATCTCAATTTCGCTCTTTTAACCGTCGGACAGGACCACCTTTTCGACGAAAGTCCCAACTCCGTTGATCGTAGCCTTGTTCCTGTCTGCAACCAGCGCTTCGCCTACATTGCGCTCGTCCAGAACTTAAAACTCGGACTTTTCGTAGCAGATGTGATGTGCTGCACTGATGTAAATTGCCCACATTCCAAACATGTTCTTGGGTGTTGAAAAAAACGCATTCCGGCGAAACAGCAAACGCCACTCGATCAAAGTCAAACTTGTTGTTGCCGTTGTAGCCTTGTCACTGGACTTGAATCGCTACACGTCCACTAGCATTGTTGCCGCCGCGTAGATCTCCCCGGTTTTCTTTCTTCTGCTTGGTCAGCACTTTTCCACCGTGTGCCCTTATTATTTGAAGAACGTACACTACGAACTCGCTCTCGACACTGAAGACCTTGGTCGCTTCTTTAGTCTTCACCAATGTCATCTTGTTTCCTTGTATTTTAATGTGCTCATTCGTTAGCACCTTCTCAACGTATTGCGATCGCAGTGCCGCGCTCTCCATCTCCAAGTTGATAACATCATTCTCCTCTATCTTGAAGAGGCTGCGCACTAAGCATATCACCATGTCTTGGTTATCTATCTTAGCGCGGATGGTGCTGAGCTTGGCGCTGATGTTGAGGACTTCATTGCAATGATGCAAGACGTGCCCGCCTTCCGCCATCTCCATGCTGAACAGCTGACAATTCAAGAAGATCCGTTCCGACTTCTACGATCAGCCGTAGATAGGCTTCAACCGCGCCCACGCGACCCATGCTTCCTCGAAGTCATCGAAAACGTGATGATGATTTGCGCTTATATGTAGCAACATCAAGCCAAACGCAATATTGCTCGCCTTGACATATTTGTCGATGGCTCGAGGAACGGCAAAGGTGGAGGTGGTGTCCCGGTTGACCCCGTGCCCCTTCGACTTGATCAGGAACACGCCACGCATGTAGCGGCGATAAGTCGCGTAGTTGTCGCCATCAAATTTGTTGGCGGAGTTTTCGGGGGCGGAATATTGATCAGAGGACATCGTGCTTGAGCTCATTACCTGTTAAACGGTAGCGAATACTGGGCGAGAGAGAGAAGCTTATAGAACACGAAAGAAGTCTGCACTGAGAAGTGAAGACAACTTACGAAGGAGAAGGAATTCGTGGAAGTGTGTTTATTCTGCGGGTTTCGATTTACCTGATGTATCCTTGTACTAATTTTTATGTTTTCCGCATATAAATCATAAATCAGAAATGATTTCGGTCATACAATCATCCTATGCGTCTAATCATCCGTATACACTCCGAAATTATGCGGGATCGACTTGGACATGTTTACGGTATTTCTGGTAGCTAATAACACTACCTCGACCGTCAACCTACAATTAAAGAAACTAAAATTAATGCATTTACTGCCTTGACTGTGTGCCCGATACTTCGGGTACTAAGATGAATATCATTTTCTAACTACGCTCAATTTGCTAGCTCACTTCCTCGAACGCTGTAAGCTGCACATACTATATCCCCTTTTTCTATATGACTGGACGCGTATGATGAGAGGTATAAAGTACGGCGTTCTTCGGTATTAGCAATGTTATAGCGCCCATTGCATTGTGAGCGCAATTAAGTACATACAGTGCTCGCTCCAGCCGTATTCTAAGGCTTTATTTGCTCCGAAGAAGCCTGCTAATTTTATGGTGCCAATATATATAGGAGAAAATGACATTAATGTATAGCACAGGCACGCGTAAAATTTGTCGCTTGTTGTCCGCCTTGCAGACTGATAAACTACATGGCGTCACACAATCGTAGGTGCTTACCTAACTTTATAAATTTGCATTTCTTTGTTTAAAACCCTCGCAGCTTTGTTCACAAAACTTTAAATGTTTAAACACAGCTGTGACCCTGCCTAACTTCGAACCCCAGTCCCTTGTATAAATCAAAGGTGGGACATGAGGTGACGGTTCATTGTCGTACTGATGTTAAAGTCACTGTCATGAGTGATACAACTAGAAGAACATGCAAGGTTAATTTAGCTTAACCGAGGACATATATTAGGATAGTTTGAGAACGAACAAACATACATCACCCCCCGTACGAGAAAAAAATATTAAGTGTGCTGTCAACCTCGTTATTATGTTTCTGTTCTGTCATGAGTTGGCACAAAATTTTTGGAGCCCTTCGTAAGAAGACCATTGCCAATATCATTGGTTGAAAAACTACCCAGCGACTTATGTGGGTAGGTCTGCTTGCGTCACGACTGGAAGGAATGATTGTAGAGTTCGTCAAGGTGATTATCCTTTCTCTGCATGGTTCATTCCGGCGTCTCCCATTTCTTGATCGTACGCTTCCTTCATTGCAGCTGATGACTGCACATCAGCGTCAGCTTTGACTCCCTCTGTTTCTTGGTAACGTTTTCGTATGTTAGTGCTCAATTTTACACTTCTCGCCTGTAGTACAGCATTTTTGGTCCATCTAAGTCTGATGAACTTGCCTCAACCCTTCACGTTGCCTTGGGACATCGCTTGTACAACTCTGCAGACAGGTGTTATTTTCTATGACATTTGCTAACGTCACAGAATAAATTTGCTGCCGCAACAGAAAGCTTATTTGTGAAGTCTGACACGCGTTTAGAATATCGTGTTGGTACTGAGATAGGCCTTTCATATGTTTGCTGCTGATGAAATTATCCCTCCAGTACTCTTTTGCCTCCTTTTGTGTTATGGTATCTCGTTAGAATTGAACGGTAAGCCGTCCTTCTTCTCCTCCAGATCTTGCACGTTCACTTGCGTGAGCTCGTTCTGCCTCCATGAGTTTGACTGTAAATTTTTGCGCTTCATGGATAACGTTTTGCTCAGACTCGTTGTATGATTGGCGATGCATGTGCTGTTCAGCTCAATATATGACGATGCTGTGTTGGTAAGCTTACTTTGCGTCTTGTCAATGGCGTGCCAAGCGCATCGACAAATCTATCCGTTCGCATCAGCTTTACCCCAGGCATGGCTGTGAGACCATTATACATCCAATGCCTCACAGCCATGGTAGTAATAGGGTTCCGTACCAGTAAATTGAGGCAAATCTACGTGCTCTTGTAGGAGGGTGATTCTTATGACTTTAAGCAACAGCCAAGGGAAACTTAAGGCGGAAATGCTTCGAAGAAGACATATTAGAAATTAAATCATCATCTAGCTAGGTCCGTCAATCGTCTCGTTGTACTTCCCGAAGCATTTATCGACATCGATTCTACGATATCAGTAAGAAAACTATGGGACGATCCATCATAACACACAATCACGTAGTGTCGCCCTTGCCATGTGGTCATTAGTATCTGCAACCAACAACATTACCAATGGATTCATTATGCCCGGATAGCGCAGGTGGTGCTAAGTATGCCGTCGTCGGTACTTAATATGTCGGCGCATGTGCACCACTAGCATCGATCTCTCGCGTTGCTTTACAAGATTGTGATCTGCTTAAGTTGACGTAGTGATTTTACATACTCGGGTTCTAACAATCTGTCAGGCTTTCTGCGCTCAGTGTAGAATCTTCTCTTGGCAAATCCTGAACCACTGTAGCTGTGTGGCGCTGCAACTATCTCTCCCTTAAAGGCGCAGCAAGCGCACTTCGCACTACTACGCTTGTCGTGAAGTCCCTATCGCTAATTAAACTCTTACCTCTATAGATTATCTTTTGCTTCATAGAGAGACTGAGTTCTCACTTATTATTATTAGGACATTTTTATTTCCACCACACCACACGTTTAGCAAGATCCAGCTCAAAAGACTACATTTTTAACATGTTTCACCACACATATAAAAATCACACCAAACCACACTACACCATCACAGCCCACTTTACCACCACACCACACTACACCTCCACACAACATCTCCACAACACACTACCCCACCACAAAACATTTTACACAGCATCTTCAATTCCCTGAACGAAACACAGAAAGTATTGGCTGTCGAATTTTGTCAAGTATCAACTATCTGCTGTAAAGCAAGCACAAAACATGTATCTACGTATTCCAGAACATGTTTGCACGGTGAGTACCTGTACACAATCGAACATAGGTCAACCAGAATCAACTGCATCGGTCAGTGATAGTGAGCAAGAACACACTCTTGCGTCACAAATGTGGCACTGTCTTCCCTTTTCACCGTCAATGTGTAGCAAATGAAGAATCACTCGATCTCATCGTCAACATAGACAAGACCTATAGCACCCCTTTGTCGGTTTGTTATCGAGTGTCGAAGTACTTGACTGTCCAATCATTCTATCAGCACAGTGTTTAACACTCCTCTTCGATGGCCAAGTTCTTGGTCTCTCTGTCAGTTCTCTCCAACAACCATGACCCCGCTCCCCTGACACTGAGCCTTATTTCGCAAGATTTCTTTGTGGTACTTTACGTCTTGTGGTCGAGCGACTCCTGCGCTCCCCTAGGCCTGCCGATCTTGAAAGCTCATGTCTTGGTCGTGTCTTGTAGACTGGCGCGTTCTCGTGAACCCCTTGCGTGCGGACCTTTCGTGCCACGCACATCATCCGGTCACCTTGATCAGAGCCTTCTTCTTCGTTTATTCTCCTGTAGCATAGTCCTTCATCACCAACTCCTTCACTTCTTTTGTAGCACGTGCACAGCCAACCCATCTTCGCATCTTCAATCTTGCTCTTCACGCTTGACGTCAGCACGTGCGCCATCTTCGTCATTCTTCAGACGGGACCTTTGGCGACTCCTGATGCCTGACGCACATTCACCGGCGGAGAATCCATCGTACAAGTCGATCCTTAGCGAGATGACTTGAAGCAAGGCTTGGGTTCATAATCTGTAGGAAATGAAGAAAGTATGGTTAATGACTTATATATTAAAATGCGCGCCAGACGCGTTTCGGCCCCCCTCCGGGGGCCTCAATAACGGATTTATCAATCTAAAAGTGAGATCTTTCTCCATCCTGCGCACAACGACTAAGAAACTTCTAGACCTTCGTTTTCTCACACAAATACTCACCATAATTACCAAAACTGGCAGCTCGGGCGTCGACCCGGAAGGGGGTGTCTGCTATGACATCTCCACTCCCAACATGCTTGTTAAAGTCCACAAGTTTGGGACGATCAAACTTGTCTAACTACTGTCACGGAATTCGCATGTTTATCAGTTGATACGATGTCATTTTTGAATAGAACTGAGTACTGCACATAGTCACTGCACTTTTGGAAGAGCTGAGCGCTATGCGATGCGATCGAAGTGCTTCAAGCACAGTTTAAAGCAATTACTGCTACGTATGCCGACATGGAAGCGGGGCGCTTATCCTAACCTAGACAAGCTGGACCTGGTAGTCATGCGGATCAGGCACGCGGTCAGTGTTCATGACTTCACTTGAGTCAACACCATCAGCTGCGCAAAGATTGAGCCGCTCGTTTGCCATTTATCGATTGTTCATACAGGTAGATGTCGATGGACCGTTAGTGGCGTCCGTTGAGCCGTCGGAACCTAACTCGTCTTGTTAAGTCGAGCGATTACGCTCCGTTTTCATTATGTGTACAAAAAATGTACTGGAAGATTAACTGCAGCCCGTCCGACAACTCCAGCAAAGGTTTGTAGGCAATGCCTTTCTCATAACCTACGCATGAGTCAGTGATATACATAAGTGATAGTTCTGATGTAGTAGGGAGATGATTCAAAAAAAGGGAACAGAGCACAACTGCTGGTTGATCGTGGAGGAGGTTCGGAGGATAACATTGCCCCAAGAAAAGTCTTCGATGCTGGAGAAGGAGACGCGTGTCAGTTTTGACGAAGCACGCTCGCGAGGGTCAGACATGAAGCTTCTACGAGATGCATCCGCTGTTCTAACCCTTGCACCAAGACTCACGGAGGACAAGTTGGTGCAATGTGCAGGACGAATGAGGCATCTCGGATGTGATCAGAACCTTTGGAGTGCAAGTTTCGACGAGGTGACGGAGACAGTCTCACTAACAAGTGGCCAGCGATTGCGGGAAGATCGGACATGGAAGCAGATGGAGACGAAGAAGACGACGACGAAGGTGACTAGGATGAAGATAGTGACACGGTCTATAGCATCGATCCTCATGGAGGAAAAACAGACGTTGGATAGCATACAGGAGGAGGACAACCACGTGATACCTGCTGGCCAATTGTCCACATACTTAGTTCTACACGCGAATGAATGCACTTGTTGTCCGGCTTTTTAATTGTGATTGCGAAGCCTGCCTCCAGTCCAAATTTATTGACATGATCCATAAGCGCGTCTCGATTTGCATAGACGGCTTGTAGGTAGAGTTTGGTCAAGATGTGGTGGTGTAGTGTGGTGTGCTTATGTAATGTGCTGTGGTGGTGCATAATTGTGTGGTGGTGTAGTGTGGTGTGGTGTGATCGTATAATATGCTGTGGTGGTGTAGAGTTGTGTGGTGGTGGTGTGTTGTGGTGGAAATTGTTAAAAGCGTTGTAGAACTTGTTAAACTATGGCGGAAATTGTTATAAAAGTGTGGCGTGGTGTAGCTTGCTACCAGTGTGGTGGAAATAGCAAAAACAGTGGTGGAAATCGCAATTCTCCTTATTTTTATTGCAAAAGGTTTATACTAGTTATAGTTCGATGTCCGCGGCCACGCATCATCCTCGCAGACGTGGCTACCTATTACCACTATGTTATATTAGATTGTAGACATCGTAAAATATGTTTGGGTATGGTGACCGGTACACGACCAGAAATGCCTAATTTCTAACAATTTTTGCAAACCTCCTAAATAGTTGTCAAAATTGCGTGGTCTGCACAATAAAAATAGCGCCGACATCTGAGATATTGTCGATAGGTTCAACGCTGCATATAAGTCCAAATATCGTGGATACCTGTAAATTAGTATATATTGGCTGAAATGTAACAGCACCTACCAATCATTGAGTCCAAAAAACCAAAGTAATGTTGCGGCGTCAGATTTGGCAGCTGGTACGGTCTCTTTGGGTCTAAAGCTTTGTGTGAGATCTCAAAAAAATGAATTGCACATAATTTTACGATATTTTTGTTTTATACCTTACTCCAAGCACTCGATCTCAAATCTCACCTTCCGTCACCATTATATGCCTACAAGACGGCGACATCGATTTGTGATGTAAATTCGATCCTTATGCTGTGTATTAGCAGTAGAACCATTGTCTGCCTTCAAGTAGCCAACGTAGACATCTTGCGCACCGACTGGGAACAACATTCGTTTATCACGTGCCTTTCATATCTGATACTTGTATAGCGATCTCATTCAATTGTCGACCACTTCTGCATTTTAGATCGGGATCGTATCAACCAAATATTATACCCGCAAATCGTGAGATCGGGAGGATTTATTTTGTGCTTGATTCTGCGTGGTACATGATACGGTGCCGCATGAAGTGGTGGTACGCATCCGCATGTCTCATAAGCGTGTCCCAATTCAACCGATCGTAAGAACAGATAAATCTAGGAAAGCGGATCACCAATCATGCGTGAGATCGACTATGCCTTAACCACCAATTCGTAAAACTTCAGCTGCTAGTTCTCAATCTTCGATCTTGAGATGCTTCGTCCCATGAAAACAACCGTCACTCGACAGCGCATGTCTTGAGCGTTGTATGGTGCTTTGTTCCGCTAAGTCACTGGGGTGAAGTTAAACGCTTCTGTTGGTAACTTCGAGATAGAGATGTGGATGTGCTGCAGGGACGCTTATTCAGTCGAAAGAGCCATCTATTTTGTGACTTTGGCTGAAGCTTGTCAAGTTGGTCCAGAACAAGCGTGTTTTGTAACGGGGCACATGCTGTGCAGGAGGCGGCTGACTCAGATAATGCCACAGCACTACGCGTTTGTCACGGACCGAGTAGTGACCAGTACGCCTGATCACGCTCCGTTTCCAAGATGATCAGTTGATTATAGAGCGCGTCACAGCTGATAGCGCAGCGATCTCTCTTCGAGTAGATTACCGCTGACGCTCGAGATGTGTCATATGATTTACTTGCTTGATCAAACTGTTGATGTTACCAAGCCTTCTATGTCGTCATTATAGGCCACACATCGACGGTCGAAGACTTCACCACAATTTCCAGTATGAAGTGATCTTGGTCAAAAATTGACGCTTCTGTACGACGCAAGAGTCAATACGTCGGATCTTTTTAAAAGTGAAAGTTGATGCGATCTTGCTTCGACGGTGCGATCTTGGGTTTCAAGCTGCCTGATCTCGATCGTGGTTCTGTCAGACTGTCTGTTACTGCTTATGCAATTCCTGCGGATCTTGATAAGACTAGTTCTCTAAGCGATTCAACAAAGACGTCGCCTCGCTGTGGAAAAGTCAATATCATCGTCACGATCTGACCCCTCTGATCAAAGCAATTCTCGTAGGTCAGAGGCGGGCTGCGTCTTACTGGCGGCGTAACACATCGTATCGACACGCAGCACCTTTGATACACGTAGCTTCTTACGCATTGCAGCGATCCATCTCACTTTACAAGCGATCTCGGCGTTCAACGACAGCTTAATGCATTTGCTGCAGTGGTGAAGATTATTCAAGATATTCTCATCAGAAAACGCTTGATTCCACGAGGTGGAAATAAGTAGCCAGGAGTGAGCATCTTCAATGATAACACAGAAATGGTCAATGGGTATCGTCGCTAGACCAGAGGAATAGACCAAAGAGGCGATGGTTGTAACTGGTGGTAGCTGGTGGCATCCGGCGTACTGGATGCCGCAGATCGATATGATAACGAGCATACCTAGCACGATCCAATCTGTGGGTGTTTCAGTCTACCTTGACCGGACTAGCTAGTAAGCCTGGTATCGTAATTGCCTGTCACAGCATCAGCTTCACTTCATTCTTATTGACAATAAGTGTACACTGTAGAAATTGCAATAAGACTGTTGCCGACGATGCTTAACTGGACGTACTTCGTGTAATGGCGCAATTCGTGCAATATCGTTTTGCTGCCAGCTGTACAGATTGACATATGATAGCCCGATCACAGGATCAGACGCCCACAAATCCCATGCGATCGTAGATCGTGATTCGTCCACGCTGCCGCATTCCGTCCAACAACTGCTCATCGGACATTTGTAGCCGCCAACAATCGGTAGTTCGCAAAACTACCTTCACGAGGTATGAATGGACGTCAAGAAAGCTATCGACATACAATACATGTCGAGTCGCTCGACTGTCCGTCGCTATGCTTTCCTCCAAGTGAGACAATACCCGCGTATAGTAGTTTCGCCCGTCTGCGGCACTACAGTAGACACCTGCTTCAAGTTTGTTGCTCTTCGCGTTGATCGGGGTATCGCTTCGTCTAAATACGCGATGCTGTTCCGTTCTACTACATATGCATATGCGGTTCATCCATTTTACATACCCGGCTTTTCGATTCGTGCGCTTTTCCGTGCTTAGTGGAGGTGAACGACATCTTCTAGTCAAGATTGTTGTATAATTTAGATAACTTAGTCGCAGAAGCGCCACATTGATACTACTTTCGTTGTGCATCGTTGCACGTTGTCTCGATAAGGTGACAGAGCACCACATGAAGAGTCGAGGTAGTACTTTACTAATCATGAGGGGTGTGGCAAAATTCAGATACAAGGGACACACGTGCAAAATGTCAGGAGTTTCGAACAGTCGAGGCAAAGCATAACTTGTAAATCGAAATTCGATTTATTGAATGAGCGCTACTTCAAATTGTTGTTGGAGCTTCAGTGCGCTACAGCATCTACATACACCATGTATGGGTGCACTGTGACAATGAGCCTAGCATATCCGATGCGTTGCTCATTTTATCCCAAGCACCACCTTATGGACAATGGAATGGCCATAGTGCAAAGCACTTTTCTTTGCAAGGGTACGCCATTGTATGCTTAGCTTTCGGACACAAGACGTTGCAAAAATGGTCATGCGTGATCACACTGGCATCAAAACCTAGCTAAAGTCCGAAAAGTTGCTCGTCATTTCTGGCTTGATTTGTCAGCAGGCAGACATTGGCGAAAATAGGTGCGGGAGCAAGCATCCAAGACGAGTATACATGTTTGGCCATAACCCAAAAGAGATGAATACGTACAGATAACATGTGGGTGGCCATGATATCACATATTTGTGGATGCAATACGCAGACATGCCGCATTACGGCTACTTTTGGATGCGAGACTGGAACGCGACTATATTCGGCCAACACCAGGCAGACATTGGTTTGAGCTGATGTAAACGGGTCACGCGATCCATCACAAAAAGGTGGCCTACACTATCAGTACTTCTTTGCATTGAAGCTGCTGCATTTGCTGCTCCGAAGATCAAGGTGACTGAAATTGCATGAGTCTATCGGTGACACGATACTTTCTTTTGCTGAGCCTATTCAGCTCTTGTGTTGAGTAAAGCCATACGCACAAGAAAGATGCATACACATGGACCTATTCGAGATACAACGCTGCATTGCACTATCGTTAGATGATCGTCGAAAACTCACAGAGCAATACTAGACTCACTTCGGGCTGTTTAAATATTGGTGGACTGCTATACAACTAGCTCCAGTTACACTGCCGCGACATCCTTCGAATCAAACGCATCGTCGTCCATCGATATTCGCTCTGTTTCACAAGATGTCTGACGGTGCCACGCGTTAACCAGCTCTAGCTTGCGAGCTATCTCTGCCGACATCTCTTCGTCGTCTTTGATGCGGTCCAAAAGCGTCATTTCCTGCTCGTCCAATTCCGAGTCGGCCGTGTCATCACTGCAGCTCTCAAGTAGACTCTCTTTCGAAAGCACATCTAGTTCCGGAGACTCCATCGCAGTGGTGCGTGTCATCGAAGACTTGGCACAGAGATTCTTGCTAGTCGCCCAGTTGAGTCCAATACCAAGGAAGGAAAGTCCGAGACCCACCATCTGACCCAGAGTCAGTACGTGGCCGAACAGGAAGACAGAGAGCACAATACTCAGCACCTTACGGCACGTACCAATAATGGCTGTCGTCAGGGCACCAAACGTGCTGATGGTATAGAAAATGAAGGCCTGGCCAAAAGCACCAGTCAAACTGAGCAGCACGAGACTAGGCAGCGACGGCACAATGTGCTGGACAAACACAGGCACTTCGCCATTGATCACCATTCCAGCTGCTGAGAAAAGAGCCTTGTACATGCTGACGTAGTACATGAGGTCAAAGGCGCCAATGTCGTACTCTTCCATAAACTTGTCTTCCAGAGCGCCCGTCGCACCGTCAAAGATGAGTGAAAGCACCAGCAGTGACACCCCAAGTACCATATCGGGGGTCCGTTCCTGCTCCAGTCGACTACGATCGTGGCTCTCATCGTGCTCAATCACGTGGCTGTGTGTCTCGTGGTCCGTGCCCAACAAAAAGACGGCAACACCGATCGATAGCACCAGCACAGACACGTACTTTTGCGCTGCGTACTTCTTGCCCAGTAGCACCCCCACGACCATAACAGGGATAGATTTGCACGACTTGCCCAGGATCCGTGTGACGTACGTCACGTAGCGCAGCGCCACCATCGACGCAATCGTCGAGCCGAACGCCAGAGCGCCTACAACCACAACGAACCGTTGCGGCATTGTCGACCGCTTCTCGTTCCGAAGGCGACGTAAGCCCACTGCAACGAGTGAATTGAAACCACAAAAGACAAACGTCATGGACAGTTCGCCCAGAACGCGGTGCATTGTGATCTTCTCGAGGACGACCCCATGAAGCGCAAACGACACCGTAATACCGAAGCAGCAGTAGACCAGCAGCCAAAAAGTGGTCGGCTTACCGGTACTACAAATGGTGTGACCGGTGCATTGGTTCCTTTCGACCGCTTTGTAATCCCTACTACTCCTAGTGCTGCTGCTGCTGCTATTGCCAGAGATGTTGACAACAACAGTCACGTTCGGATGTTGCGACAACTCCTGCACTGATTCCTTGTCGCTCAGCACTGCATCGGTAGTGTGATACTGCACGTGGTCAGTGGGTAGCACGCGGTCGATACTGCAGACCATCCTGCGGGGGGTACGCCAGCAGGTCGGTCGACGTCCGTCCGACTGTGGAGCACGAGGTCAGGACGGGTTGGCTGCGTGTTGTGATTGGTGGAGAGGTTGGCGAATGACTGGCGTAGAAGAGCGATGAAAACAAAACGAACAGCTGGGGGACTGGTGCGACGAGGTCACCCACTTGCTGTTGTTGGGTACTGTGTACTGTCCCTGTCATGATCATTTGACCGAGACGAAAAGGGTGCAGTTAGCTTTTTCTCAGCGCCGGCGCGTCGTGAATGAAGTAGTAGTTGTTGTTATTGTTTTCGTAGATTTTGACGAGGGTTTGTTTGGCGTGCGACAAAAGTGGTTAGAAACCGCGAAGGGCTTGAGGTAGAGAGAGGACTACAAGACTGCACTATAGGCACACGGTGGGTGCCAACTGGGCAGTAGGCCTTTGCTATGTTCAACGTAGATTCGCGACGGTATCTCGTGACGCCATCAGCGTGGAGTTACAAGTTACGACATGCAAAATCACGGCGCTACCAGTTGTATCGTTTACAATGACGGCGTTTGAGATTCCTCAATGGGTTGAGGTAGAGATCAGAAACTCGCAGTATCAACTTTTGTTGCAGTACAAGACTTCGACAACAGGTGATACGCACAACATCAATCTCGGCCTATTGTAGACGGTCAAAGGCGCAAGCTGTATCGGCACCATGAGCTCAATCATGGTAGCTTGACTGGCTTCGTTTATTCCTCTGCTCCTGAAACAGGGATGAGCTCACTGATAGAATACCACCACAAAAACTGCAAAAGCCTCCATGACATCGATCACCGCCAAAACAGCACAAACTCTCACAAAGATTTTCGCGTGTGTTTATCCGATACTGCCTCCATCACTTGTGCTATGAATTCGCGCTACGCTGTGACGTATCAGCTGCTCTAAGCTCTCGAAGTGAGCAAGCCTGCTGCATTTTCAACGTACAAGAAGATGGCACACATCGCTCACAGATCGAGTACGCAGAAATAATCACCATAAGGTGTATATCGACTCCATTTGCGAGAAGCGATCGAGCTAAGTGCTGCTGCAGGGTTCCGATGCTTTTCCCACAGCGTACGCGTTCGGATACACAAATGACATGACAAATTTTGCTTGATGAGTGTATCCTCGGCGTCAATTCAATTTAAAAGCACTCTTTTGGTAGTCTGATGCTATGATTTGGCCAAAGTGCGAGGCTGCATACCGTCTGTCATAGGATGTAGAGACTCGATCAGATTCGATTTGCTCTCAAAGCCGAATATGAAGTTGATGTATCGTCACTCGAGCACGAAGCGGCAAAGGAGTGTGCGCTTGGTAGAAACGTATCGTCTGTACAAAAATATCTGTATCGAACTTTCCAAACAACAGTGCTGCATTTGCAGTGAAGCACGCACCTCAAAGTTTAGACATGACCGACTCTTCGCACCGGACGGCCGACTTGCGAAGATCTGCTTTCGCAGAATGTGTTGATGATCTTGCAATTGCTTTTCAGCATGATTATCTCCTTACTTAACACTGACTGGATTTTGGCTAGCCCATCACCGTCATAGAGTTTATGAGCAAATCAAGTAGATGCGATGATCATCTTTCGTACACTCGCGCGTGATCAAGGCGACGTCCTTGAGCCTTAACATCATTAGAGATGCGACCGTACACAGTCCGTCTTTTCACGGAAGTAAGGGATGATCGAATGCGGTCAATATATATAAAACAATCAATCCATTTCAAATGTGACGAGTATATAACGCTTGCACTGACTACAGTGTAGATAGACACACTCGTCATACAGAAAGAATGGGCGGTCAACTGCACTGGACGAGGTTAGCTAAACGAAAAGATAAGCGTATACGCTATGGTTGAGGTCTCGATACCGATGCAGAGCAAGCTCTGGAGCTAGCTTTATATGTAAGGATTCATGGGAACTTCGAACAAAATGAGGTCGCGAAAATTTGCGTTCGTAGTTAGATGATTGGGTTTGGTGATTGGGGAAAGGTTGCGCGTTGTGAGATGGCAAAGTAATTCGCAGGTGTTGTTGTTGTATTACAGAAGCTAGGAACTAAGGTCTTAGAGGTGACGGCTGGTCGTGCATATGAAAGACCAACAACGGCAACAACAACAAGAACGACAACAAGAAGACGAATACGAAAACAGCAATTACAGCAAATCACATCCGATTCTATACAAGTGACTGATGAAGAGGAAATAGGTAGAAGCTGTCTTTGGCGCCGAGCGAGGAAGATGGCCATAATCCACTGACTTTTTTGTTGAAATAGTACTTCAGATGAAGGGCGAGTTCTCATGAATGACCAGCAAACTTTCATGCCTTGATGCTAGGTCCACGTTATTTGCAGACCCACCGAGTTGTCTATATGCGCTGGTCAATGTGACAAATCGTCGCTACTTTTCAACACGTGCACCTACGGACAGTGTCGTTGGTACTTGTCGATTATATATCGCAAAGACTTTCGGCAGCAAAAAATGGAGCAAGTTGAGTTTTGCGCAATACAGAAAGTGTACATTGTGTCCTTTTCGACAAAGTCGTACGTGGCACACACACACCATCGAGCTATCCACCATCGCGTTGTGATTGGCAGATAATCGTCTACCGCTTTTGTGGCTGGCACAACCACCAAGAGCTCCTTAACATGATGGCACACTGGACGCCGTCGTTCGTCTCGGTGCTGCAGCGACCGCAACGCGCCAGGCAGCTACTTGTGCGGTCCTTTGCGTACGTCCACTTGCTATCGTGTCTTGGATTTTACCGTCTTGGCGCCCGTTTAGTACACCTTTTCGCTCATTTGGCAACGATTGTATGTACCCATTCACTAACTGTAACCTGAACTCCATGTGTGAACCGTAGCCATCGAGTGAATATGGTGTTGAAGGAAGACGTGGCGAACCTCGGATCTCGCGGTGACGAGGTGTCGGTGAAAGCGGGTTACGCACGTAACTTTTTGTACCCCGAGAAGCTAGCAGTGTACGCCACAGCAGCCAATCGCGAGAAGTTCAAAGTCGACAGGGAATCAGTGGACGATTCGCTGCTGGAGAAAGATTATGAGCTGGAGGCTATTGTCTACCAGCTGAGTAACATTGAGGTGGTTTTCAAGCGCCACACGGCCAGCAAGGCCGACGTCAAGCTGCACAGCGAGGTGAACGCTCAAAATATCTCGGATATGCTGGAGAAACAGCACGGTCTCATTGTGGGTGTCGCCCGCATTGATCTACCGACACCGATCAAGACGCTGGGTGTGCACACGGTAAAAGTTCGCGTTGATGATGCGATCGAAGAGGAGTACGCTGCTGGCGCGGTGGTGTCGGCGGTAGAAGGCGAGGCGGAGAGCGATCTGGAGGACGAGGACAAGAAGCAGAAGAAGGGACCGTCCAAGAAGAAGTGGGCGAGTCTTGATATTCGAATCGAGCGACGGTAGATTGGTGTCTGATAGTCATCTCCGTCGCGTGGCAGATGGTAGTAGCGGGAGACGAACAGGCTAAAGAAGGTGGTTGGCTTTTTAGACGACTGTAGGTTCACGAAGATGCATTAGCTGGTGCTGCGAACTTCTGCGACTGGAGAGAACCGGTCGTACTGACCAGCGAAACTATTGTCCCACGATGCTCATAGTTTGGGTCCTTTTTGGGCAGTGGCGTTACAATGTGCTCGACGATGCACTTGACAATGTCTTGAATACAGAAAAAGAACTCATGTCAACAGTGTCACACAATCGAATTTGCCTACTCGTGATGGCAGTTTGCAACCCAAAGCCGAGGACAACCTCAACGGCAAAGGCATCAATGCCTAAAGCTGGCAGCAGTACATTGAAAGGCAAGCCAAAAGCTACACATCGCGTGACGTGGCGGGGCAAGCAGATCACCGAGTTTGGTAAGGAAAAACAAACGGCTGTAGCAAGGTATTGTGAAGCACAACAGGGCTGACTCACCTACTAACACTCGCAACGACTTTGCTCTGCATCAGAAATGAAGGTGTATGAGACCATTCTGACGGTACGAACACTGCAGCTTCTTGACGGTGGATTCAGCTCAATTAGATCGTAATGCTGTAGATTCCAGCGGGCAAAGTGAGTACCTACGGTGCCGTAGCTCGGGTGCTGCATTCTGGACCTCGATGCGTTGGTCAAGCCTTACGCGTATGTACATTGGCGAACACCGGTTTGATCATAACATCGATGATACAACGCCAGCTCACTCTTGCGTGTATCACTACAGAAAAATCCGTTTGCGCCTGAGGTGCCATGTCACCGCGTCGTCACGACTTCGCTTGGCATTGGCGGCTTCCAAGGTCCGTGACGAAGGCGTAGAACCCGCTGCACCAAGCAGGCCAATGATAGATGCGGTGTATACTAATGCCGTCGTTCTGGTACAGGTACAAGTGGTGAAGAATCGCCATGTGTCCAAAAGAAGCGCATGCTATTGGCACAGGAAGGCGTTCTGTTCGCAAGTGAGCACAAGGTGGCTGCGTGGCATGCATTGCGCTGCAAAATGTCTGACAGCGACGACCTTAGCACTGACTGTGCTCATGATGTGTTATGTCCACGGATAGATCGATGCTGCTTCCTTGCACGAGTTCGACCAAGCTGTAGTTACACGATGCTAGCAAAGTCAGTTCAAGGCAATGCAAAAAGCTGCACCTGCACGTCCGCTCTAGATTCTGTCAGTCGGTTGCAAATACCGCCACTGTCCGACAGGCAGTGACCCGAGCTTCACGCCTCCAATTCGGACGCGCTTGAGAGCCGTCACACGCAGCCCGACATGCTCACACATGCGACGAATGTGCCGGTTCTTTCCTTCGGTAAGAATCACCCGCAATTGATTCGCGTTCAGTACTTCCACTGACTTGGCTCGGTACGTAATGCCTTCTTCGGACGTCACACCAGCCCGCAGCACCTCTAGCTTCTCCTGCATCTCGTCACGCACCGGATCCAACTCGACGTCTACGCGCACGAGGTATTCCTTCTCGATCCCGCTCTTGGGGTCCAGCAACTGTTTCGCCACCTTTCCGTCTTGTGTGAAAAGCAACAGCCCCGTCGAGTTGACATCCAGACGGCCACAGACGGCCATTTTCCACAAGTTAACGGGCTCAATACTCTGTCGAGGCTTGACGCGACTCAGTTCTCGACACTCGTTCTCAAACGTGAGCAGGCGAACCGCTGGTGTCTTGTTCGGCTCGGGCTGAGACGAGACAAAGCCCAATGGTTTGTTCAGCACGAGCGTGACTTTTTTGTGCTGATGTCGCTGAGCTCGACAGTCTAGACGGACGTCAGTGTCGAGAGGCACTTTGAGCCAGTCCGCCTGCACTCGCTCGCCATTGACAAGCACATCGCCAGCTTGGATGTACGCCTCTGCTTCGCGACGCGAACAGAGACCTTTCTGAGTCATCAGCTTCGCGAGGCGCACATGACCGTTGTCGACGTCGTGCGAAGAGCCAGCGGTGCTACTGCTGAAGGGAGCAGACGATACGAAGGGTGACGTCAAAAGGTGCGCGCAACGTGCGCCACGACCAGCGATCCGTCGACGCAGCCACATGACCCCGCGGAATTGTGAAGGGATCCGATACGTGATTGGTGGAAAAGCAGTTCATGGAACGGATTACTGCTCGAAGAAAGGGGCACGAAAGCGCTCAGAAACGGGGCGCACAGCCTCCTGTGACCGTCCAGCATCTAGTAGATGGGTTCATGCTCAGGCCGTTGACCACTGTGTACCACGTCAACGCCACTGCCAGCAGCAACACCATGTACATGCCCTTGCGGTTGCTCACTTGCTCGTGGCTACGCAGGCGTTGCGTCGACGCTCGCTGACTCGGAAGCAGCGGCAGAAAGAGCAGCGAGACCACCTTCATGCCGTAGCACAGCCAAATCATCAACGTCACGTTGCGACGCGTTTCGTACGTGTCGGCCAGAATGTCGTCCTTCCACACTCGGAACCGAGCGTTAATGATCTTGGCGATCGTGCGGCCAAACGGCGCGGCCACGTGGTTCGTGGTCGTCAGTAAACCGTACAACGCTCCTTCGGTGCCTTCTTCAATGAGCTCGACAACAATGTAGTTGCTCACGATGAAGCGCACTGCATGTGGCACTTCGCCAATGACGGGCACCCCGAGCCAAAACCATTGGCTGCGGATGATGTTCCACGTCACGAGCATCGTCATTGCGCAGTCCGTGACAACGCCAAAGAGGACACTTGCAGCAATGACAATGCGCCAGTTCCACCGCAGTCCACGCTGGGCCATGACCGCCAGGGTCCCAGCGTACGTAAAGGTGCCGACGATCGCCATGACGCTCGCGTTGAAAGGCGTGGCGTGGACCCAGTAGAGCTTGATGTTGCTGGAAGACACGATGTTGAAGTTGTTGAAGATGCCCGAGAAGAACTTGTACGCCGTGACTTGGTACACTGCTCGCTTGTGCAGGACTTGCCAAAACTGAGCCATGTACACGCCAAACTTGGGCGGCTCGACCCGGTTTTCATGAACGAGGAACCACGCAGCAGGTCCAAGCGGAAGACACACACAGCCCATGACGAACATGACCTGCGCGAAAGTGAGCGAAAAGTCGAACGAGCCACCGTACTCGGCACCGTTGAGCGCGAGGGCAATGGCAAGGGCTCCGATAGCGCTGAAGCCCATGCGAAGACTGTGGATCCACGATTGCAAACGACCACGTGAACCAATGGGTTCGCGCTGGGCGTACTCAATCGTGACCGCGTCTGCAGGGACCTCGACCAGCAGATACCCGAACGCAGCCATCGTCATGGGCAGCACGTACTTCCCCGCAGCATCAGGTGCGTTCGGATTGATGCTCTTTTGCTGAGTATCTGTCCACTCGTCCGGATTCGTGAAATGCATGCTCGGGTCGCCGTAGAACGGAGCTGTGTCGGGGAAACTCGCCATCATGAACAGCATGCAGCAGCAGAGTGACCAGCCTATGAGCATGTACGGTCGACGTCGAAAGCCTTGAATCGGGAAACAATCGCTGAGGACCCCTAGAAACACTTTGTAGGACCACGGTAGCTGCACCAGTAGCGTTGCAGACACAATGATGGTGCCTTCGGCATTGAGGTACCCTTGTAGCACGGGATAGATGACGGCTGGCAACGCACCATTGACAAAACCGATACCTGCGTATTGCATCAGCAATGCCAGGACCTCAGGAGATAGCAGTTTCGGTGGTGGCCCTTCTCTCAGCGAGTCAGCTTGGACGTTCTTGTCATCGTCACCAATCGACTGCACAACGGATGGCACAGCGTCCAGCGGACGTGTGCCATATTCCACGGCGACAACTGCTACGTGTGGATCACTCGCTAAGAGCGCATCGCGTTCTTTATGCGCTTCACCCATATAAATGCGGTCTAGAGGCGGTTGGTGTCAAAGTGAGCGCTTCTCTGACCACACGAATAGGTCAAGTTGCAATACCATGACGGAACAGTTTCGCTCCTTGTGTGGCGCAGCGCCGGTGCAGACGAAAGGTACGTTTCGCGGACCCCCTCATTCGGCGTCGCAGCAACAACAGACGCACGGCTCGTTGTGTGTGTGTGGAGAAAGGACCGTGCGAAAACGATACAGCAGCTGGTCTTGAGGAGACACGCGGGGTCGACGTCGCCCGTTTTGTCGTCAGTGCATTGACATCTTCCGATCCACTTGCAGCCACCCAACCGTCTGAGCCAATCGAACCGCTGGTTGAGCCGACTGGTTTGCGCTTAGCGATAGTCGCGTAAGCTGTGACGGCTCGACGCATCGCAAAGAGTCGAGTTTGTTTGCAAAAGACGCTACGAATACAGGTCTCTGGCAAGAGGTGAGCGATCGATGGAGGTCGAAACAAACCAGCGGCTGCATGTTGGTGCCGGACGACCAGGTTTGCACCGAAAAAAAGACACCGTATCAACTTGGCGGTCTCAGTTTGCCTTCTTGATCGGAGGTCAGCGATCGTGACTGATGCCGGCACCAATGTGGACTAACGAGCCACGATCGACGAGTCAAAATATTGCCACTCATCATTTATGCAGCGGCGACATATGAAGCTGTTATGATGGCTGAGATAGAGATTTTGGACCCCCCCAAGGGCAGTTACATTTTGCACCGATCGTTACCACACGCGCGAAGGCGCAAGCGGGATAAGGTTAGCTTCGATACGAAAGGACCGGAATGCACGCAGTATGAATAGGCCATGCTTGGTTTCCCCAAAAAGACCTGATCGATGTGCCACCGCATAGAAAGATAGGCATTCATTCAGAAAAATGACCTTCGACGAGGCTGCGAACGCTCCACCACAATGATGCACGTAAGTCGAGGCCTCGAAGTCTTTTCGATACTAGCACAATTCTGGTGCTCTACATGTACAAAAGTCGCGTGCCAATCACAAATGGACGTTTGTTTTGCTGACGTGCTAAGCGAATGTGTTCGCAGCTCGCACTATCACACAGTGGGGGTCGAAACGGACGATCCCTCGTGGACATGGCCGCACAAATGCTGTACACGAGTATAGCGCTGCCAATCACTTTGTCCGGAGTCCTCCTTAAGCCCATCTTTGCACATCTAACTTATAACTTGTTTTTCTTTTCCCTACACCCGCAGCAGAAACTGCGTGAGGTTCCCCGAGGATCATGCGCTGTCAAAAAGGCATCGCCCATGATGCCGCAAACTGTGATAAATTGGTCCAGCTCGCAATATTTGCGATATAAAAATATCAAAATGCATGGGGCAATGACGAAATATGTGGTGCGCCGTTCTTGTATACTATACCACCAAATACGCACACGCCTCAGATTAGTCATAAACATCCACGCATGCCATCTTGATTACCTTTCATCCTTCACAAAATGGAGATCTCTGCATATAAAACTGTCGACAGTCAGTTGTCAGCAAAGGTAGGATTGACGCTTTTACTGTGATCTGCTTATGTTCTTGCATGTCGTTGCATTTTAAATTTACGTTAGCTGTACATCTTTTATCACATCTTACTTGGTTGATATTGTGGTAAGGGAAATATTGAATTCACTCCCTTTTGGTATATTTACTCTCCATTTGAAGGTACGTGGTACGCGTTATCTTTCCTTATTATTTTTCTGACTTCATAATAATTTAAAAAGTTTTATATCACACGCAAAATTCTCCTCATTTGCTGGACAAGCTAGTCTGAGCCTTTAGCAGCGGCTGCACAACAACTACCCTACAGTCTGAAAACACGCGAAAGTCTCGCTGATTATCAGGTTTGGACGTGTAATCGGCTCGCGACCGATCAGCTAATATATTTATCATGCTGGGAGACCCGCGGATACCATCGGCAAAAATCCGCTCTCGGTATTCTGCCGATGGTATCCGCGAGGCGGTAAAAGGTTCGATTGAGACGGCGGCCCATATCTACTGGGAATGCCAGACTGCCTAAGCTCTTTGGCGACAACTATTACTCGCTGGTCTGGAGAGCAAGGGGGACGATTCGGGCTGCCAAATTACTTTCGGCATTGCATTGATAGTCAGGCACCACCGATACCGCAACATCTCCGACAGCCTGTAAAGCATCGTTTTCATAGTGGTCACATCGAGACTGAGAGCACTCTACGGCACGTCTACATGTATTATATTCTGTTTTCCAAGTGCATCTCTGGACGAAGCACCATGCATAAGTATTACGGAACGAGTAAACACTTCATTGCGAAGCGCTTTAACATTCGGGGACTGTGGTATGCGGCACCTCCGAAGCGATCGCGTTACCGGGACACAGATCAGCTGACTACTCAGTCACCAAGGTACTTTTACGTGCTCGTATTGAATAGCTTGGTCACGGGACTCCACGTCACTCGTTCACATAAATCAATATGCCACGACAAATTATCGCATAGGCACTTGTATTGGGCTTAAGACCTTCCATCCATCTTTCTCCTGTTGATATGTAGATAAATGATTTTGTAACTTCCCATGTATTTTTTTTGAATCCGGCAGAGATGGTCATTCAATGGCGTCTAGCTACAATTGTTTGAAGCCGTTATTTTCCCGATGGCGCCTAGCATTTCAAATCAGTATGGCCATTATATGGTATACTATTTCTTCATTATACCCACCAGAACGATCGCCTGATGAACAACTATGTATGTTGTAGCCCATAAATCTACATCTCCCACATCTTTAAATCTTACGGGAATTTTACTTGTGTTCAAATAGGGACGCGACTCTCTCTTCAAACTATTCTTCGAAAGATCTCATGTACCGACCAGAATCCTGCAAACAATATTGAAAAATTCAAATTGAAGATTTAAAATGAAGGATAGTACTGTGAACATCTAAAGACTTTGCGACAGTTATAATCACCTGTTCTTGTTCAGTTACAAGGAGAATTTCAATGTGCGCCCAAAATAACACCCATTTGTCGTATTTATGCTTTTATTTGCTTGATGAATGTGTTTACAACAAATTATTATACCAATAAGGTTTGCCATTTTAACAGGTATACCGGCTCTTTCATTTGCTGAGATCGATTCCAGGTGACATTGCTCGTGGAAGCTACAAAGGATTATTGTAGGTCATTTCTTTACAATTTTCGCGATCTTATGTGCGCAAGGGATTCCCATTGTCACGTTAAAAGAGTGTATGCATCGAGTGCATTGAAATCACCGCCGTGAAGATACAGTGACCCTGACGACCGTGGATAATTAAAAGAAGGAACAATCTCGACTGCAAGTAGTAGCCGCAGCAAATATGGTTACTGCGAAGGACTGCTGTGTGATCAATCCGGAACGACTAATAACTACTTATATTACCCATCCTACTATGCTGCTTACACTTGTGCATACCGTGCTGTTTGAGAATAGGTTATGAGCATAGCTTCAAAGAATTAGTAAAAGAGCGTGACGAAAACACGACATCATCCAGTCCATGCAAGTAAGACGGTTCATGGAAGGGATTAACAAGCTCGATTATGATGGAAGGACTAGTCATAGCATAGATGGGACATACCGAGGAAAAGAGTGAAGAAATATCGACGCCATTAAGTCTCGTGGAAGCTCTTGCAAGAGTGCTCAAGATGCTGGATAAGATCTACAGCCGTGTCGGCGTAATCGAGGCTTCCCAAAATGAAAGCAGCGGTTTTGGTACTGCTTCGGAGTCGCCCCATAAACGAGCGGACATTCCTCACACTGAACCGCGAGATCAAGGACCGGCTTCTTTTGGTTGTATAGTGCCTGAAATCGGTGGAGGACTCACATTGAATGAGCTTGGTGACAGCGGATTTGGATCAAAAAATGTCTCAAAGGTTCGGGCTATAAATCGCAATTTGAAAGCCACTAGGTCTACAAATTGCTCAATTTGGCCACAGCGGGTGTCATTAAGATCCCAATCTCACGAAAGTTAGTTTACGGGAGAAAAGCACTATGCTGGTCTCGGCACATCTTTGAAGCAAAAGGGCATTCATTTTTCGAAGCGATCGCAATAGCCTAGATCCATAGTCAATTTCCTAAAGAAAATGCATTAGGTAAACTAAATGGGAGTAGACATGGTCCCATAAAGTGTGGCCGCAGCGTATTGTTGTAAGCCAAAGTAAAAAAAATGGTGGGAGGTCATCCCGACGTTGTACGGCTTTCTCTATTAGCTTTATAAAGCATTTAAGGTGAAGATTGCGCACCTACAGGCTGCCGCATTGTTTGCGAGTTGAAAAGACGAGTCTCGCTTGTATAATTATAATATCTTATACATGATCGGTGTGCGAACTTGATCCATCGTGGCTCGCGGCGTGATCCGTTATTCCGTGGTGCCGATCGGCGGGGTCGGGTTGTTTTTAAGGTCACGTATGCCTATGATCGGACTCAATGTTCGAAATAGCGACTTTCCGGCAGTGATCACTCGATCTTGGTTGCACTCTAGTAGAGTTTGACCTTTGAACGTTCCAGTAGTGAACTCGCTTCATTGAGCAGTTTAATTAGACGCCGGAGCTGCTCTAACACGTTGGGAGTTGGTTTAAGTGCAGACGTTGGTCCCCGTAGCGATCCGGTCAGCTTTGGCTCAATCGTCTGAAGAACAGGGTCGCTCGACAACAGCTCCTTCAGCTCCTTCAAATGGTACGCTTGGCTGATTACGTCGAATAGCCAATTTTCAAACTTCACTTCGCGATCCACTGACTGTGACGCTTTATTCATCTTCTCCGTCTTGACCTTGTCGCCGGCTAGCCTGTTCTTGTATACGTTTCGATCTTGTTTCACCACGGTCAGCTTCTTTAAGTCGCCCGGACTCCTTAGGTCTTCCTTCATCATTTCTGATGCTTCATCGGATATGAGTGAAAATCGTTTAGGGATTTTCCTAGGACTTTCATCCTGCATATCGTACTTTGCAGCGCGATCTGCGGAGGCCCCCGA